TCATCTATCTACTTATTTCTATATCTACCTACCTCTCTATCTGCCTACCTGACTGTTTGTCTATCTATCTCTCCCTCTCCTCTCTTATAATGATGTGTGTGTGTTGTGTGTGTGTGTGTGTGTGTGTGTGTGTGTGTGTTGTGTGTGTGTGTGTGTGTGTGTGTGTGTGTGTGTGTGTGTGTGTGTGTGTGTGTGTGTGTGTGTGTGTGTGTGTGTGTGTGTGTGTGTGTGACATTAGCAGGGTTATAAGAAAAGAGATGGTTGGATTCCATCCCAATATGCCTTATTGTTACTTGTACTTCTTTCCTTTGGCAGCCTTTTCCTTTCTGCCCTTCACGTGTACGTTCACAATGCATTTGCAGAGAAATAAAAAATGACGATACTCACGCCAAGCAGTAGTGCCCCATCCCGTAGTAATGCCCACGCCCGACTGCGGCACTTCGGAAGGTCTGGCGAGGCATATGGGTGCCACTGTTGAGCTGAACGTCACGGGGGAAGATAGTTTCAGTAGTGCTATGTCGTTATCCTGTGTGGGAGATGAACAATGCCTTGTAAATTAACTGAATTTCGAAACGAGTAGTACATACACTGTCAACTATAGTTTTATCGTGAAATCTATAGCTCACAATTGGCTCCACAAGTGTTCAGTCCCCAAGGAGTTAATCAGTATGGCCTGTGTGACCTTATGAATTCCCCATTGTTTAAAATTTCGTGATTCTTTTTTAGTACTATTGATATCGGTACTGTAAGTATTATTGTTGAGTTTATGATTTTTGAAATACATAGTTACCAAAAATCCGAAAAACAAGGTAATGGCAAACGGGTGTCGCGACTAGTATTTGACTCTTTGGTGACATCTTCGTGTTAATACAATGGATAAATTAAAATCACAGCGGGCATGGCATTCATATCAAGCCATAGCATCATAATAAGTTAAAGAGGCAACAGTAACTATACTTCGGTAAATGACCATAACTTATTCTACCGGCGAATTACAAGTGGACATCAACAGGGACTGACCAGAGTCAAGCTGTCGAAATCCGGATGGACTGTCACACTCGCCGCTTGCATTTCGAAGCTGCCCTCTTCGTTTACGGACCTGTCGTGGTCTCCTAAGTACACAGTGGTGGACGTGAACCTGCGGGACAGAACGCCTTACAAACTCCAGATATGTACATTTTAAGGTATTTGCATATATTCTCCAACGGTCTTTATCATTACAATAAAAACATTTTTAAAGGATATATCATAAAGTCTCGTTTTACACAATCATAATTGGATGTAGAATCACTTTATTTTACCCACACGAGTCACATAATATCCCAGTAGTAACAGAGAGAACTCACCCACTCATGTAACAGTGCGCGGCTGTTAACACCCAACGAGGCTTGATGAGGGAACCGCCACACCTGCCTCCCCAGCTCAGTTTGATGCCAACCTGAAGTATTTTTTAACTTCACTGTATTTGCTGTTGTTATCCCTCTGTTTCTTGTGTGATTACACTTATTTCTGTTCCCATTACACGTATGTACCTAAGAATGTTAAGTATGTTACTCTGATTAGTATTGTTGGTACCTGTTCATGACCGTAAGTCCATATATATTGGTGGCATTTGATTAATCTGTCTGTACGTAACCATGCATGTGACAAATTAACAACACAATATGCTTCATGATAATGCATAAATTCTCAAAGAAATGGTAGAGGTAACAGGCTTTGATATCTTTGGCTGGCTGAAGATGCCCACTGACCTGCCAGGGAAATTCCCCGCGGTTTGCGTCCTGGCCTCCTACGATCCTCGGAACCGTGATCTGACTGATGCCACAATTGCCTGGTCAAAGCAGAGAGAAATGGAAATCAAAAGCTATTTGAGGTGTCTCCCAAGTCTAATATATATTGTGAAGCTGGTAGCATTGTCTGTAAACTATTCTCAATGTGATGTTCAAATTAAAAAAGGTTTTACTGAATATGATGACCGTATGTATGACTAGAAGATTATTAAGCAGTCACACGTTTCATTATAATCGGGATTTTTTGACGCATTCGAAGTGATTCTGTAATCTGATTGACGAAAAGTGAATCAACTGAAAGCAAGTGATGTCTAAAGATGGCAATCTAATAAGTTATAGCACTAAATCAGGTGGCTGTCATGAGGTAAGACTTGCCATGAATAGAAAAAATGTGTTTATGAGATAGAAATGATAATTTTGTGAGGTATATTCCAATAAAATGGAGACGCGGGCATCCACCGACATGTAAATGGAAAGTTTGTTGACTAGCTGTGCCCAGTGAAGGAAAATGGTATTGCTGATGCATCAATTGGGATATTAATCCGTACGCCGATTTAGAGGGTCAGTCACATGCATAAAAACTTGAGTTGATAAGTCGGAGGTAATTTCAACTTTTCCACTTATCTCATCTTCCAAGTCTGCATAATCTACTTGGACGCAAGTAAAAGCGGACGATATGTATTCGTTTGGAAATTGGCGATACGGTAATTTTCTATATTACGTCCGCATAACCGATATCAACGATTTTGGTATCGTTGGATTCCTCTCACTTTATACAATGCAAATATGTAGGTTTTATTGCGCGGAACCCTTGTTAGCGATAAACTTGGCCCGATATCGGTGGCGACGATGTCGAGCGGCGGACGTAATATATGAAATTACCCTAATAATATAACCTCACAGTGAAAATAATCATGATTACTCACATGACTTTCCATTGCAGGGGGCTGTGCCCCTGCGACCCCCCTTGGGGGGGCTGCCGCCCCCTAATCCCGCCGAAGAAACAAAACCTCCACCAAGTATTCACGGCAGGATAGCGCACACAAACTTGATGCGGAGCCGATAACCTACAATAACCTAGGATTTTTAAGGTACTAACCTGATTGATTAATGTCGCTAATTAGTAGGGAGGGCGCTCCTTTGCCGCAGAATGTGAAGGAGGTCCAGGCGTGCTGGCTGCCCGCACCTGCCGCAGGCTTTCTCCCGACGGAGGAGACCGTGGCAGAAGCACATCTCTAGCATTTTTTCCTGGCTAGTTGCAATTTTGCGCAGAAAAACCGTCTCCGAATACGAGCACCTCCACACTCGGCCATCGCGGCGGCTATACTGACTTCTGAACGCGACGGTTATTTCAGTTAGGAATCGGATGTCGTTATTCCAGAGGACGGGAAACTCGACCTTGAGGCCATCGGTGTAACATCGAAAAAGGCGCAAAACCCGCCGACGAGGGCGGGCCACCCTGTTCATCCTGATTATACTACAATCGTCTCTATATACAGTGCTGACTATGCAAGGTTAATATGCTAATTCAGTGGGAATCTTACGGGGTAAATGTAATATACGCCCGCCGCTCCGACATCGACGACGATTGTGTAACGCTCTAGCCTGCCGGGAATACGTGGTGGAGGTTATTTCACAGTGCGTTATATTATTAGTGCTATTTAACCCCGCATTTTCCCTGGAACCTTTCATGCCCTCCCTAAAATCGGGGCCAAGTTTGTCGGTAACGGGAGGTTTCCGCGCAATAAAAACTATATATTTGCAATGTGGACAGTGAGAGGAATCAACGATACCCAAATCATCGATATCGGTTATACGGACGTAATATAGAAAATTACCTAAAATAGATATTGCATTTCATATCCTTATATTTTGCAAGTGTTTGTTATCTTTACACGGACATCCATTTGAAAGTACCCGTGACTTCATCATTGTTTACATACGCGGATCTTCAAAATTCCTCAAAATAACTTGCCTGTATTCATCCTTCAAACGAAGTTCTTGCAGCTAATTATGATACACACTTCTATTATTTCCTCTCTACAACCACGAACGAACCCACATACGTCGTTTTAATAATCGTTGAGCCTCCATTTCTACAGCACATGACAAATAACTTGCGAGGAGGGCCGCGCGGGCCATGCGGCCATCAGCAGACGCTTGTCGCTGACATCGAGCGGTTGGGCGATGGTTCGGATTGCCCGTGTGACCAGCAAGTTGGGAAATCAACCGAATGGAACATCGAAAGGCGGATCATACCACAAACAGGTGCTAAAAATACTCGTGTGAACGTGCCTTAAGATCTATAAGACAAACTGAGGGAAATGGTAATCCCAAATTTTGAAAGCAAAGTACACTAACGTCTCCCCTCCATAGGTTTTGAAAAGAAGGTATATTGTTAGAACGAATATTTAAGTCGCCAAGAGAAAAAAATGCATTTTCTGCCTCTTTGTTTTCTGCAACCGAATGGAAAGGTAGGAGATTTCAGGAACCTTGACTCGTGATGTTAGAGCCCAACGGCATCATGTATTTAGGCGCCAGTAAAGGATGCTATGAGATGGAATATGAATTAAAATGATAAAATTACACAGAAAGGTAAACAAAAAACGTACGTCAATATTTCTGTAAATTCAGAGGAGTATTTTGTGACTGATAAATATGTAGCATATAATACGAATACTTACTGCAGAAATGTCGATCCTGACTGGCCGCTGGCGATGTCACAGTTGTTGCTGTTGGCGGAAGTGCATCGGTAAATGTTGGTTGAGGTGCTGGTAGGACAGGTGGGGGTAGGGGTGGTGCAGGTGGGGTGGAGGGGGTGCTGGTGGTGCAGGTATGGGTAGTGGCGGAGGGGGTGTTACTGGCGCTGCAGTTAGAGGAAGGAGTGCTAATGGTGCTGTTGTTATTTGAGTGAATTCTGGAAATACTGCCTGTGGTGTTGATTTCGTTGTTTGTGCCACGGTGAAAAATGTTAAGGTCGATGACAGGGTTGTGCTTGATGACTGAGATGCTGATGAGGAGGATGAGGAAGTCGGCACCGGATCTGATGTTGCTTGAAGTGCTGAAGATTCTGGGGAGGGGGATGTTGTAGGAGAACCACTCATAAGAACGAAAGATGAACTTGTTATCGAGTGAGAGAGATCATTGACAGGCGTTGTAGTTGAATGGGATGGCACAAAAACTGTTGTACTGCGAGTTGTCGGTATAGAGGTTTCCTTACTTGAAGCTGAATTCGATGGATCAGTCGTGACTGAAGCTGACTGGCCTCCTGTGCCATCTCCTGAGGATGAATCCAAGTCTGAGGAAAGAGAAGTCAGGATAACTTGATTCTCTGTCTCACCCGAAGTTTCAGAAGTTGTCGATCTGTCGGAGCTCATGGCATGGCTCTCTGAAGTCGGGATGGAGGTCGTCGGGCTCATGGAAGTCCCTGGAGTTGTCGGGAAGGTTGTCGTCGCGGGATTTTGAGTTAGTGACGATGGTTGAGGTGTGGGCGGTGGAGATGACTGATTTGTAGGCGATTGAGATTGTTGAATCGTGGCCGGTGGAGTTGGCTGAAGTGTGGGTGATGAAGATGGCTGAAGTGTGGCTGGTGGAGATGGCTGAAGTGGGGGCGGCTGAGATGGCTGAAGTATGGGTGATGAAGATGGCTGAAGTGTGGGTGAGATGGCTGAAGTGTAGGCGGTGAGATGGCTGAAGTGGGGGCGGCTGAGATGGCTGAAGTGGGGGTGATGAAGATGGTGAAGTGTGAGATGGCTGAAGTGTAGGCGGTGGAGATGGCTGAAGTGTGGCTGGTGGAGCTGGCTGAAGTGGGAGCGGCTGAGATGGCTGAAGTGTGGGCGGTTGAGATGGCTGAGAGCTGGCTGAAGTGTGGCTGGTGAGTGGCTGAAGTGGGGCTGAGAAATGGCTGAAGTGGGGGCTGAGATGGCTGAAGTGTGGCTGGTGGAGATGGCTGAAGTGGCTGAGATGGCTGAAGTGTGGGGTGGAGGTGGCTGAAGTGGGGGCGGTTGAGATGGCTGAAGTGTGGCTGGTGGAGATGGCTGAAGTGGGGGCGGCTGAGATGGCTGAAGTGTGGCTGGTGGAGATGGCTGAAGTGGGGGCGGTTGAGATGGCTGAAGTGTGGCTGGTGGAGATGGCTGAAGTGGGGGCGGTGAGATGGCTGAAGTGTGGCTGTGGAGATGGCTGAAGTGGCTGAGATGGCTGAAGTGTGGCCGGTGGAGGTGGCTGAAGTGGTGACAATGTCTGGAAAGTGGGTGATGAAGATGGTTGAGGATCGGGCAACTGAGTGTCTGGTATTTGAGGATCTGGTAACTGAGGAAGTGGTATTTGGGGAAGTGGTACTTGAGGATTTGGTAATGAAGGGCTCGGTGATTGAGAGTCCGGTATCTGAGGACCCGGTAACTGCGGATCGGGCAGTGGAGGATCTGTTATTGGAAGATCCGGGACCTGAGAATTCGTTGAATCGGAACCCGGTAATTGTAAATCCGGTAGCTGAGGATTTTCTAATTGGGAAGTCGTTACCTGGGAATCCGGTAACTGGGGAGTCGGTGATTGAGCAACCGGTAACTGGGGGTCAGAAGGACCACTCGCTGAGGGCGAAAAGAGTGTTAAGTTTAAATCTGAGGATTGAGCTGGGGTTGTTGGGGTTTCAGTGTTCGATGGCGGTCCTGGAGAGGGAGAAAAAATGGCCAAACAGATAACCTTTCAATGGAATATGCGTTATAAATGTCTGGTTGTTGACTATCATATCCATTCCCTTACTGTAACTATTTTTTTTATCATAATAGTATCAGTGGTATTGTTATTAGCATTGTTATTATATTATTTTTCTATTATTACTGTTATGATGATCATCACCATTACTATTAGTATGAATACCTTTAACATTATGAGTGTTGTTATTATGAACATAGAGATAATTTTCTATCCTGCTAATATTAATATTATCATTGCTGTTATTGGTAGTATTATTTTATTGTCATCGTCGTTATTATCATTGTTATTATAATTTATATTACTCTCATCATCATTATCATTATTATTATCATTATCATAATCAATATTATTATTATTATCATTATTATTATTACTATCATCACTATCGTTATCGTCAACATTATTATCATCATTATCAATGGTAGTAGCAGTCGTAGTATTGTCATTATAATTGATATTATTTTTAGTTATTGTTATTATTATTTTTTAATAATTATTATCATTATAATCACCATCATCATTACTGTTGGCATTCTTATTACCATATTTTTTCATTATTATCATTAAGATTATTATCATTAGTAGTATTACTATTATTATCATTATGATGATATTCAAAATCGGTTAAATACATCTCTTGTATTGTGAAGATATTAATTCTTATTCATACCTTTTCTATACTTTTTTTATCATTATCAATATTATTATTATCATAATCATCATTACCATCATTTATTATCATTTTGTCATAATTATCATCATCATCATTATTATTAGCAGCACCATTATCATTATTATTATTATCACCATCATATTATGATCATTAATAGTATTATTATTGTTGTTTGTTGTTATTTTCTTATCATTATTATTCCAGCATTATTATTATTATTATATCATTAATTATTATCATTATTATCATTATCATTAATATTATCACCATCATTATCTTTATAGCCATTTTATATCATAATTTATTATTACTGTTGTTGTTTTT